TATTTTAACTTTCTGATGAGGGTATCAAAATGAAAGCAGTAGTTCCAAATAAATGATTATATTGACAAGGAAATCCCGAATTGGCCAGTGATTTTGTGCAAAAATGAGTCTCCATAACCTGGTGGAAGGTGTAAAGCTTGTGTGATTGAAAGGTTGCTAGCTTGTGGAAAGTTATATGGTGGAAGGATTAGTAAGCCAGATCACGTGACCTGACATGATTACATTACATGAGTGGGACTTGGTGTTGATGTTTTGGAACATCAAAGATAGACAGGGTTTTCATGGAGGTTGCTCTTCAGATATCTCCACAATTACAGGTCAGGGATTTTCCAAAATCAAGAAGATTGGTGCATATGGCTAGGTCTCTTCACCTTACAATTTGTATGGCAATTTGACCCGGGGTTGTGGTGTGGTAGGGGGGAATGGGGGATAATCCCACACAGGAGTTTTGAACCACGTCTGGTTCACGTTCAGCTGGATAACTCCACCACCACAAGGGGTATGCGGTCGGCGATGTGGTCAAAATGCTCGTATGATCGAGGGCTCTTCGATGGATCTATCAGCGGGTTCTTATTCGAAAAATTGAGCGAGTTCGTGGTGGGGCGGTGATTGAATGATCGGCTGCAAGAAACGTTACTGTCGTTAGCCGCAAGGCGGGGTCATGCTGAAATAGTTCAGCTACTGGTTGACAGGGGGGCCGAGGTGGACGCTGTAAATCCAGATGGTATAGAATATGTCACGGCGCTCATCGCGGCTGCATTCTTCGCGCACGAGGATGTCGTCCGCATCTTGATCAAGCACAGTGCAAATGTGAACAAGATCGTGGATAAGGAGCTATTCTGTGCTCTCACTGCAGCGCTGGAGCCCTACCCTTATTATACCACCCAACGTCAGTCCCAAGGTGGATGCTAGAGTGGCTAGCATCGTCAAGCTGTTTTGTGCAGCAAGTGCTAGTTTATCTACCTTATTGTCAACGCATGGGGCACGCGTTGGGGCCTATGTGCATGGGCGGCCAGTGTGTGTGCCTATGTCAATAGACGTTCATGCCATAACATGAGGACGGCGCTGGCAGGCTTGAGTTTAGCTTGCTGTGGTGATTGTTTCATTTTTTTGCCGGGGTGGGTGTTCCTCTTGCATTGCTTTGCTCTTCTCACTACGCAAACAACATAAAAGTACGATATATACCTAGCTATCTCTACTTATAACAGGTCCAAACCAAGAGACTAAGATGACTAACTCCGATTGATCACTGATGATTCAAGAGTTTTCAAGGACAGTTGCCTTTACCATCACGGTCACCACTAAGCGCCAGGCACAAAAATTAATTACTATTGGAGGAGCGCACAGGGAATGCATAGGTTGGATATATCTGCAGGGGTCGCCACCTGCTTCATTTGTGAATAATGATTAGGTAAGGTACGTGATCATCAAGTTAGATTTGTAGATCTAGAAAGATCGCGTTCCTAGTAATCCATACGCTGTACTCCGTGCTGTCTCAGCATATGCATAAGCGAGATTTCCTAACTCCTGAAAGGAAAGTACAGAGTAAATGGCGCAAAGATTCGCCAGGCCATCTCTGATTTTGCCCAATCTCAAAGCCTAAGCTGAAACTCGGCAATTGATCCATCAAAGCCAGGGAAAGGTTTAATATGCCGATGGCTAGGTAATTTTGGCTTATACACCACAAACCCCAGTGAGGCTCAAATTGCACAGGTCATATGACATAACTGAACAACATGAATATTTGGAGTCTGGAGTTACCGTTCTTATATCAACACTCAATCAAACCTTGTCTAGCCATAGCATGAATGGCGATAAAGGATGGCGGTAATTCATTCCATGGAACAGCCAAATCGCGGGAAATCGGCAGACGGCACACATAACAGAAGAAGAAACCGGAAGAAATGTGTGAATTCCTCTGGATCGGGCCCCTAATCACCCGTCAACGAATTTGACAAAGCCACAGTATACCCATTTATATCTTTCTGTAATGATGGGGATTCTCGACCACTGACACGGAGATCCCGCGCCAGTGTGTGCTGTATAGTGGAATACCCTGGGCGGAATTCAATAGAGAATATGCCACTTTTCTCGGATTCCATAACAACAAATTGACCTGCATCATTCGAGATGACTGATGTGTAAATTGAATTTAGAAGATAGGAGAGATATTTCTGCTATGCCACTCTCATCCCAAGCGAGAGAGTATTCAAGTACTCAGCTATTGCAATTGCGCTGGTATGAGACAATGGCAAAACCCTAATATTCTCAGGACTCCTGCAGCTCCGTTTCCACTTGCTCATGACATCACTGAAAAAAGCGGGGGGCTAACATGCCAAGCCAGTGGACCTTCAAAGTAACAGACCCGGGAGTCATTCTTGGCCCTTCAAAACCTTCCCTTTCCGCAGAACGCATCTATGTATGAGAGATATGGGATGGCAGCCTCGGGCGAATCACCCTTCCATAGGTGTGATAAAGATCCTAGATTCGGAGAGATTCGGAGGAGAATATATTTCAGTCAGAGCATACCGACGCCAAGGTCCTGGAGACCCGGCCTTATATTCCACGGATCTGGGTATTTTTCATGCTGTGCAAGACTGACAAAGGAGCTAGAGGGGTTTCAAGCCCCCGGATTGTCATCCTCTTCCTCGTGGCGCGGGATTGGGCCTGGGCGTGGTTCTGACCGCGTACATACTCTACGCCAAGCGGAGCGGTGATACCTGGAGCCAAATCTGGCAAAGGACCACGTGCTTGTGCGTATTTGCACCCCTTTTCATTAACAACAAAGCGGTGCTCGCAGCAAATGGCCCGTTCATTTCTAGATAGCCGGAGCCCTGATATGGAACTGGGATATCATCCAGCATGGAATGATCTGGATGCATCTCGCCGTCTCAACAAAGAGTCTTCCTGGAGAAGACAAGCCAAAATCAGCAAGTAAAGATCCATTCTTGCCATGGCTAGTGCATCAGCGAGATGTTTCGGCAGGATACTTCAGGGAGAAGAGTGGATTGGTGGCATGTATGCTGTCACACTTTCAAAGTCTGGGCATGTAGCGTCTCACAGCTGCAGGTCCCCAGTTCAGCAGCCCTCATGGAGGAATCCACAGTACTTCTCTGCGTAATCCCGTTTAGTATGTTCATTCTGTCAACTTTCATTTAGAATCTCGTTGATACTAGTTGTAGCGATGCGTAGCTATTTATACTTCCCGCCCCGGCGTCTTATATAAGCGGGAGAATCTAGATTCGGCCCGATGATGCTCCGGATGAGCCGCGATGAGTCAGCTAGCGCATATCTCGAATCGCCAGAGTTCTAGATGTTCAGGTCGCTCTCGCATCCTCAACGCAACCACTCCATCTCACGGACAACTCCTGTCTTGGATCTTGCTATTCTGTCCGCTCTGCCGTCTGAGATTTTGCGCTATCCGGCCTCTGCTATTGTTTTGCTGAAGTTGTGGTTTGCCTGGGTTATTATCCGCCACTGTATTGTTGTATTGTACTCCTCCCACCCATCGTACAGATCGGCTGGTCTGTCCACCTGGGAGGCGAATATCTCATCCAGCTTCCCTGAACCTTGCCTCCTCCAGGCTTCAACTCCAGTATGTATTATTATTGCTGTTGGCTATAGATGTCGCTTGCCCACACTACCCTTCCCTTCCTTCGCTCCATTGCTCCCTTGCTTTATGTTCTGTCTACCATCCATCGTTGCCCTACACCCAGCTGACCTCTTGAGATAACAGCGATATTTTTCTACCAGAGCCTCTTTCAAAAGAATTCACGACCTGAACTGGCCTGATACCCCCTCGCTAAATCCCGCAATACCCTATATTTCCACCCGTTTGTCTTAAAGGTACCTCCAGATGATCCGCTGAACACTTCGGGTCCTGGAGATAAGTCACCATTGAAGCCTTTTTCATCCCCCGCCTTTCCTCCCTACGAAATCGTGGATCATCAACCGGGCATCGACATTTCCACTACAGCGACGCGAGTGGCGTTGACAAGACCCTTTGTGGAGAGTAGTTTCCTGTTCTTCCTCTCCACTCTTTTCCGGCCGCCGTAACCTGTTGCCGATCGCACACAGCGAAGAGAGCATCGTGCCTGTTGTCACCGGGGAATTTGAGAATTTCCCACAGATACGGCGGCTGGCATAACTCTCTACCCCCCCTTCCCCCTTTTTCCTATTCTGCCTGTCACACCCAAAGACGCGTCGCCCACGTACGATGGGTCAGCAACAATCGAAACGCAGTGATGGTGCACCTTTAGCTCAAGAAAAGTCCGGCGACAGCCTCCAATCCTACCCCTCCTTCTCTCGAACAGACACTCGAGACTCAACCCGTTCTATCCGCGGCTCTATCCGCTCCAAAATCCCCGGTGGGAAAAGCGAGAAGAACGATAGCCCCAGAGGCTCAATCTCCACCCTATCGCGTGGTGAGAACGGTTCACCAGACAAATCAGATGCAGGCTCCATCGCGTCCGCTACCAGTGCAAAGTCCGCAAATTCCCGAGTTAATCGCATCTCTTCGATCTCCTCGACCACTAACGCTCCCGCAGCCAAGCCCCCGACGTCGGATGATCAGCGTTCTTACGTAGATGCTCCAGACCCCCCTCCTTCCCCTTCTCAGTCTGCTTCCCTAGGCCGTGGCCATAAAAACCTCAATGACGTGCGCAAGTCAGGCGAAGTTGACCATGTTTCCGACGCTCCCCCGTCACGTCCAACCCCATCATCCATTCATTTGAAGCCAGGAGAATCGATCCTCATTAAGAGGGAAGGTGCTATAAACCCTGTTCTCCATGATGCAGCAGCGGCTGCAGACCAGTCAGGTACAAACGGTTCGCCTGGAATGGGAATCGGTGCCTTGAAATCAATCGATGTCGATGAGATGATTACAAGACTTCTGGATGCAGGATATTCGGCTAAAGTCACCAAAGCTGTCTGTCTGAAAAATGCTGAAATCATTGCTATCTGCACGGCAGCCCGTGAAGTGCTCCTCTCCCAGCCAGCTTTGCTCGAGCTCTCGGCACCTGTGAAGATCGTGGGAGATGTCCATGGTCAATATACCGACCTAATTCGGTTGTTTGAAATGTGCGGCTTCCCCCCAGCCGCTAACTACCTCTTTCTCGGTGACTACGTCGACCGGGGCAAGCAGAGTTTAGAGACAATCCTGCTCCTCTTGTGTTATAAACTAAAATATCCCGAGAACTTCTTTTTGCTCCGCGGAAACCACGAGTGCGCCAATGTGACGAGAGTCTACGGGTTCTACGATGAGTGCAAGCGCAGATGCAATATCAAAATCTGGAAAACGTTCGTCGATACCTTCAATTGCTTGCCAATCGCCTCCATTGTCGCTGGCAAGATCTTCTGCGTTCATGGTGGGTTGTCGCCAAGTTTAGCCCACATGGATGACATCCGTGGCATTGCTCGCCCAACAGATGTTCCGGACTACGGGTTACTTAACGACCTTCTTTGGAGTGATCCTGCTGATATGGATGATGATTGGGAACCCAACGAGAGAGGTGTGAGTTATTGCTTCGGGAAAAAAGTCATCATGGACTTTCTACAGCGCCATGACTTTGACCTTGTGTGTCGGGCGCATATGGTGGTCGAGGATGGCTACGAGTTCTTCAATGATCGGATCCTAGTCACCGTGTTTTCTGCTCCAAATGTAAGTTTTGATATTTGTTTTCGGATTTTTCAAACTGCTTCCATGCCAAATTGATAACTAACTTTTCTTCTGCAGTACTGCGGCGAATTTGACAACTGGGGGGCGATCATGTCAGTTTCTGCTGAATTACTCTGCAGTTTCGAACTGTTGAAGCCGCTGGATTCGAGTGCATTGAAGAGCCACATTAAGAAAGGCAGAAACAAGCGCAACAGCATGTTGAACAGTCCTGTAAGCTTTTGTTCCCCTTCCTCATAATATCATATCCAGCTCTTACGAGGAAACCTCTCTTGTCTACCGATATATTATACTTGCCATCTACTTCGGATCTAAACTTACTTAAACATATAACAACAGCCTGCGATCGTATCCGCTCAGAGTTACTAAACTCGAGCAACTTTTGGAGACGTCATTGCCCATACCATATATTGACATCTATAACATGCTTAATTTGTGGGTTTTATATTTTCGTTTTGGATACTACCAATAGCTAGAAATACCCCACCATTCTAGACTTCCAGTCCCGAACACGGAAACAAATTCTAACTCCCTGTATTTGTACGTGAAGAATGATGACAGTGCCGCCTTAAGTCCTTTGTCGCCTATGGTGTTCCAGTACTTCCGTACACGGCTCCGCCGCCTTAATTCCTCCCTGGCATCGCCGCCGATGATCCTTTCCCCGAAAGCTGTTGCCAACCAGTCCACCGCTCTCCGGAATTACCCGCCTCCGGATGTCTATCCTCCCGACATTGGTGAACAATGTGCAGTCGCGTATGGTTCTGAAATGAGACGCATGCCTCCCCTCGATATTCTTGGTCTCGGTGATTGCCAGGAAGATGACGATGATGATGACGGCGACGGTAATAACGATATTAGCAACGACAACGATAACGATACTGAGTATCGGGATCTCAGTCCACATATAGTGGGAGCACAGGGGCCGCTCCTAAGCGTCGATGGATAGCGCGGATTCTATATTCCTAGACACTTAGTCGATTGGGTTCGAGCATATATATGTGTCTTGTGTCTATACCTTTCGCGTGGACGAACCGGTCAGTGGGTAGGAAGAGGGGATCATAGTTGAAGGAGAATCCAAAGACTCCCTTGGACATCTTCTTGAGGAGTGCTAAATTGCTGGATGGATATTATGGGATATGAGAATTCATTACCTGCGATCCCCGTTTTTCCATTCCTTCTCTATCGTCTTGCCCTTGGTTGTTTTTTTCTTTCCTTTTCTTTTTTTTTTTGCTCCCTTGCTATTTCCCTTTATTCCTTCTCACTCCTGTTCATTCGTATCCTTACGCTATACTATTCTTTCTCATTTTCTCTCAACAATTAGTCTGGTTTTGCTGCCTCTATATCTGGCCCATTGTCGATGCTGCTCCTTATTCACTCTGCAGCCACTTTTAGTTACTTCTACCTAGTACGCCCGTCTTGTTTTATTTTCGACGTTAAACGTTAAAAAACCAACAAAAGTGTCTTTTTTTGTCTTGTGAAATTATCCCTCCTCCACATCTCGTTTTCAGCCGTGCTTATGCAGCCCGCATTTGTTTCTTCCTCTTTACGACCAGAGGCCCATCCACCACCATTACCCCAGGACGCCATCACTTCAAATCCCACTTTATGTTCCACTTCCGGTTCACAAACCACAAACTACTTCATAGTTTTGCTTGTTATCTCACATTTTTCTTTTCCTATTCTACTTAAAAGAAGAAAAAAAAAAAAAAAAACTGCTTTTATCTTCACTCCGCCCACTCCCCAACTCCCGTGCTTCATTGTCGGTATATTGTCGGTATTACTACGTGGTGCCGCAAGGTCCGTTCAAAACATTCCGGAAGCGATTCTGTTGTATCTTCAGTTTCCCTTTTGGATTCCTCTTTTTTTTTATATATATATGACTACTTGCTCCACTTTACTGCATACTGCTACTGCCGCTGAGCTTCTCTGACCAGGGTCCAGATTCATACATATACATATAAATTGCTGTTGTGTTTGCTGAATGAGTTCTATTACGTGATGCTTGAATGATTGCTTTGCTTTGTGTTGCAGTTCTTTTGAATTTGTATATGCTTCACTGTAGTGATTATCTCTTGCTCTTCTTGCTCTGGTTCTGCTGTTAGTAGTAGACTCTTTTGTATCATTTTTTGACTTTGGCATTGGCTTGTCTTGATAAGGATGCTGATTGTACATGTACATACCTACCCATGTATATATACACTGCTATACATATGCGTGCATTGTGCATTTTTTATGTATGTATATGTAACACACAAATTCTGAAATCTGGTTTTATTCTAAATGTTACAAATGATGATGTGTTGCATTGCACATTCAATACACAAGAACTAGTTGATTAACTATCTAGTGTGAGATAGTTTTTTATTTGTTAGTTTTTTATTTGTTATTTCTCTGAAGCTGAAGTGCATAATGAGAAAATATAGATTCTAAAAGTGACACTGAGATAACAGTGAACAGGGAAGAAATTGAAATTATGATAGTAACTTGTAGGTGGATGTGGTGAGAGAAATGATTGCAAAGACATAAATTTGAGCTGAACAAAGATCATTCCTCTCAAAGGGTGCATAGATAAGAGTAGTAACAGTATGTCATCATAGTATTCTCATTCAATCAATGGTGGTAATAAAAAGTAGAAGTTGGAAATTATAGTGGCAAATGACATGAGAAGGGAAAACCAAAATTTGAAGAGGAAAATGAAAACAAGTATAAAATATAAAAGTGTTAGGGGGAAATGGAAATAGACATGGACAATGGAAAATAGGCACGACTATTGTGCTGTGTACCGAAACAATAGTAAATTTCAGAACGCAAGGGGTGGTGGGAAACAGGTGCTGAACTGAGATGGGGAGACAATAAATAGTGAGAAAGGGAGACATACAAAGATATAAAAAAAAAATGACGGCCCCGCCTGATATCAAAATTTCATCAAAAGTGCAATTACAATAACGAACAATAAAAGAAACCAGAAAAAAATAACAAATAACAATACCTGTCGGTCCTAGTCAAGAATTCGTTACTGAAAACTGAAAAGCAGGGGAAAAAAACCGTCCACGCCCGATCTGAAGCATATAATTCATATCCTGCTATCCCTTCGGAGAAGTTATTTCAATCGAATTCATTTTGCCTCCTTGGATGGATGGGCCAACGCAGCCGTCACTGGGGTCGTCACCGTCCCAACCCCAGAAATCAGAGTCGGTGCGACCCGCCTTTTCTTCACCGCTGGCACAGCAGCGGTCACTTCCCCCTCCAAATCCGCTCCACTATCCCTACTACTATACTTCCCACTCTCCCTGCTCTCATCCCTCTCCGACTCGCTCACGGTTCCCAGGTCCCGTTTCCCCAGCACGCTACCGCTGACAGAACTCGTAGCACTGTGCGAGACGCCGGACATGGGCGTTTGGGGAGGCGTGCTTAGTGGTAGACCGGCTTGTTGGAGAGGTGGTGGGCCGGAGTTTGTGGCTGTTACGGAGGGGACGGAGCCCAGGGTGGGTGTTGGGTTGTTTATGACCATGGAGTTGGAATTCGAGCCTGGGCCGGAGGTTGAGGTTGAGAGTTGGGGGATGCCTGCGGAGAGTTGGGTGATGGATGAGGTTGTGGAGCCGGCTGGGCTGGCGGGACGGGCCGGAATGACGGTGGCGGTTGTTGTGGTTGTTGTGCTAGTGGGTGTGGGGGCGGAGAAGATTGGGTTTGGCTTGGAAAGGGAGGGGGATGTCGCGAAGCTCGGCGTGGGGAGAGGAGTAGCGTTTGTGGAGGAGGTAGTAGAAATATGGTGAATGTGCTCGGCCTTCTCGCTTGAACTGGGGTTATAGACTTGGCCAAGCTCTCCTGGTGAGAAGGCTAGGGTTGAGCAGAATCCGTCTGATGAGCTCATTATTAACGTTAAGCCGTCGTTTGACCTGATGTGCGATATGTTAGTGTTTAACGTCTGAGCGCAGGTATCAACCCAGGGGAGAACATACCAGGTTAAATCTGTAAATGTGGCATAGTGCAGATTGCTCACTATACAGATTGGTGTTTGTTGCTGGGTATCATAGACAAGAACCGCATCCTGCGTTGCAACAGCATAAACTATCCGATACGGTAGTGCGAAGGCAGGGCTAGGCCCTCCTTGTGTGGCCCCATTTTCTGTTTCAGTCGTCTTGGGAGAAGTGAGATGGCGGGAAAGGTCAGATGTCGAAGTGTTCAATGGCGGCGGGGGTTCCATGAAGGGGTTGCTTGTTGGGGTAGTTGCAGAAACCGCGGAATCCGGGAGTGATGGAAAAGCATCTTCGCCAGACGAGGTGTCGAGCGTGATATGTCGGGTAGGTTTTGTCCCATGCCGTAAGGCATAGAAAATAGGTGAGCACTTGACCGCTACCGACGGTTTCTTCTGTCCTGGAAGATGAGCAATCGGTGGTTTATTAAAACCTGCTCGAGTGTAAATATATACGGTATTTATCACCTCTTCACTAGTCTTAGGAGGATCGCCGTGGAGTCCATGCGAAGTTTTATATTGTCCAGCGGGCGTGAAAAGTAAGCTTCCGTCTGGCGCAAATGTCAAACGTCTAAAAAAGGACGTGAATGTCTCGTTTGCATAGATGCTGGCATTTTTCACTCCAAGTCCTCCGAAAAGGCCTGGAGAGGATACTTCCAACGGTTTTACAGCGGGGAGTGGCATGGAGGGCGCCGGTGATGCCGATCGTCGCATTGATGGGGAGGAACCAAAGGAAGAACGGCGACTATGGGATACTGGTGGAGGATCCATAGGCAAGGCTGTTGTCATTGGGGTTCCAGGCGTTGATGGGCCAGGCGAAGATAATGACAAAGCATTGCTGGTTGAAGATTGACCTCTCAGGCCAATATCTGGAGGAGCTGGGCTACTTGAAGATATGCGCCGGGCGGGGAGATCCACTTTGACAAATTTGCCGTGGGATGTTAACGTGAACTGCCCGTCCTTCGTCTTCAGTGTGTAAATATGCACTGATCGGTCCGAGGACTGCGTTGCCACAAATTCATTGAGAGGATCCCACGCAACTCCCTGGACATAATGGGAATGTTCTGCAATTTGGCGAACCATTTGACCTACAAAATGCCCGTCGAAGTTAGACATCTTACTTTACTCAAAATAAATCCATGGGATAAAGTAGCCCGTACCGGTTTGCGCGTTATATATTCGCGCAATATTATCCATGCTGCCTGTTATGAAGAAAACGCCGTCAGGAGACCAAGCAAGATCGTATATCTCGGCCCCAGAGGATCTGCACATATGTTTCACCCTCCATGTCTCCTTGTCATCGGATCGGTCTTCTCCCAGGGCCCTTCCATGTGGCTGCAGTTCGGAAGGAACCCAAAGCAGCACGTTCCCATCATCCCCAGCAGATGCTAGCATTTCGCCTATATAATACAACCGATATCAATAAATAGTTCCGCGTAGGAGTAGATGCGGCGTGTAAATACCTTTAGGGCTGAAGCGGACAACGTTTACTGCCTGTGTGTGTTTAATGAGGGTCGAAAGGTATGTAACTCTTCGCTCCTCGCCGATTGTTTCGACTTTCCATAACTTAACTTGATGTTAGCTGAGGCGTTGTCATGAGAGTGAGGGTGAATAAAGAGGAGGGATGGATTCTCATACTCGAACATTGTTATCACTAATAGAACCTAGTGTTAGCATCAATCCGAGCATTTTAGATGTAACAGGAAATATAACGTACTTTCCCGCTGTAGCGAGTCGGCCTTTGCCGTGAGGATCGAAATGAGTGGAGTAGATAGGTGCGTTGTCGTCGTGCCAGGAGATAAGGAGAGGAGTAGCCTTCATGATGTGCCAGGACAATTGGCGATGGGTCTGGAAGACAGACGGGGAGATGGAGGACCCCTCAGGCCCTCGAGCAGCGCTAATGTTCTACCGGTTATGCAGGGAGTGAATCAAGCTGTGTTAGCTGAGGGCTATAGAGACACAAGCTGTATGGCAGGGAGGAGATAAACGGAGGCAGAATTGAGAGTCTGAGATAGGGATGATATGGAATGCAAGAGGATAGGATATGAATTGACAGCAGAGCAAGCAGGTAGTGGATGGCGGTGAGCTGGGGGTGATTGGTAGAAGGTGATAAATATATCTATCGGGTTGAGTGATAGAGACGAAGGAGAAGTTGTAGTTTGTAACTAGTTAAATAGCAAAAGATGAAGTTGGAAGTTGAAGCTGAGGAAGCAAGTCAGGTGCTTTTTGTTTGCATTCCCAAACACGAACGACCCCAAACCACCTAACGTTATAATAATAAATAACTAACTATTTAAATGCTAAGTTACACCATCAAACTGACCATAAAAAAACAATTTATCTGATAACTACATTAGCTGAGATGTAAAACAAGCCATATTAATCAATGTTATCCTACCCTACCTTAAATATAGCTGTTCAGATTTAATAGCTGAAAAACTCCGTACGGAATACCCTGAATACAGCTTGAGGCCATCACAACCTACTAAAACATTAATAATATAATACCAACCTCAAGCTAACAACTATTGAGAAGAATACTACTAACTACGTAAGCTATCACTACCCCAGCCTTGTGCTGAAAGTCATTGATTGAAAACATGCGGCGGCTCACTTGCAAGTTCTCAGCCAACTAGTCAAAGAGGATACCAATTAATTGGCCTGGTCCAATTCGCCAGCTCCAAAAGCCTATTCTTCTTTCAAGTCGTGGACCGTGGGAGCCACCAATCTACTACGGAGTAACTACTCCGTATGTATAACAATATCACATTTATGCTTTTCTGACCTGCCTACTCTCAAATCTGGTGTGGTTTCGCCCCAAAAGCGAAAAACACAATCCCGCTTTGGGCAATTCGAGCCATATTCCCCAAACCTAATACTTTCGCCATTGGTTCCCATATAACTTGCGGGGGAAGAACACCCATCAACCAATTTGTTATAACTATATGTGACTGGCAGCCAAATAATGGGTGACTTCTAGGCCGTCGCCTGCACTACCTGATATATCCGTCTCCGGGAGACACCATTTTATTGTGCTACTGTGAGGTTATCAACCGGCCCACGCATGCGGCATGACGAACCCATCAACCACACGGAGCTATAACCAGAGCCATGGGCCATTTCCATTTGTAAATCCCATGACCGGTGGAGTGTTAAGGAAAGTACTAGGCCTGCGCGCTGCCTTCGCCTAAGGGGCCCGGAGAATTTTTGGGTTTTTAACCCAGGTGCTTCTGGCGTAATTTAAAGATTTTGTATTTTGCCAAAGAGGCTTAGAATAGAAATGACAGAAATGGCTTTTGTGTCGCCATCTTGATAATATTTTCATACAATATAATCATACAGTCTGAGGACCAACCGTCAGGTTCAGCCTTCGGAAATCATCATTGCTTGAAATCGTACGCCGGAGGATGCATGACGGGGGGAACTTTTTAGATCAACCAGTGGCGGCAAGGAGGGAAGTAAAAATAACAAAAAAATAAGCAGCCATGTCCTGTGCCCTTTCTTTTCGGCGGGGCAAGTCGAGGATACCCTCCAATTCCAACACTCCGGATGCAGGATGCGAAATTTAATCATCTGGAAGCGGTATAACCTGAAGAGGTAACCGCCAGCATCATATATACAATACATACACCAATATTAAATTTTTAGTTCCGAGTGCCCATTAGGCAAGGTACTTCGCAATCGTCTCACCAAACCAGCCACTAAGCTTCTCTCTGCGCTTATCACGAGCTTGATTCTCCGCCTGTAGCACCGGGCCGACTTCCTCAAGGTATATGTCCTGTTGCGCTCGCTTTTTGTGTAACACCTGTAACTCCAACTCGCGTTCATGTGGCGTCATGTCCTTGAGTGGCTTTGGGAATTTCACGCCCGCAGGGACTTGTTCGCCGCCTGGGATTTCAAGGTCTGAGTTTGTCGGCTGAGAATCTGTTGTTATAGTGTTTGTGGTTGTAGGAGCAGTTGAAGGTGAAGACGGTTGGAAATCTGGTTTGAAGAGAGATTGAGGGGGTGGGGGTTCTAGGCCCGCGGCTTTGGCTTCCTCTACGCGCCGCTCGTAGTCTAGCATTTGATGATATAGCTTATCTGCATGCATCTGGATTCGTTCTTCTTTATCTGCATCAAATTCGAAAGACGAGGCATATCCTAGGGCTTGCAGGAATTTCTAGCAGAAAGCCGACCGAGCCATCAGTATAATACCACCTAGGAAAAAAACTAAACATCAGGGAGATGGAACATATTACAATTTGCATTGAATAACATCTTGAGAATTTCGAGTTTTTCGCGCTGCACATCGTTGCTCGTTCCTTCACCGTGCCTGACTTGAAACAGAGGGACAAATCCATCTGTTCCTCTGCGCAATTTTCTAACGCCGCCATGTTCAAAACCTCCTTTCGCTTTTTGAACTGGTCAATAACCCTTTCTACTGGCGACATGCTGGAGCTTTCTAGTTCTGCGACGGGTTTATAGCCCTTCCAAAGGTGCGCATAGCGGCCATCGGGGAAGAGGGAGGCGGAGGGAACAGACGGCCTGTCGGATGGGGTGGATTCGTCGGCGGGTGTTGGTTGGGATGAGGATTGTGGCTTTTGTGATGGTTCTGATTGGGGTAATGATGGAGGCTGGACGGTTGCAGGGTCATATCTTGCGGGTGTTTCTTGCTGGAGAAAGTCTTTTAGAGACGGGTCAAGCTGCTTTGTGGGATCGCTCCCGTCAGAGCTACCCCAAAACCAACCCATCACTAATACGCCGTTGTTCGGGTTCCGTATATATATTCCTCAATTGTGCGGCGAGAATAACAAAGCTAATTGGCAGCTAATTGGCAACTAGAGAGGTAATATGTTGTCTCCGGTGTTCCTTTCTCAATGTAATCGTAGCTCTATCTCTACATCTTTCGGGCGGAAGTTCTGAATTGCCTCTTTGGGGTTTAAATGGCGCCAACCCCTTTTCGGTCAGCTCCCGCCGACGTCACATGATAGTAATCAACACTGCTTTAATCGCATCGCGTCAGAACAGTCGCGTTTATCAATCGAGCGTGAAGGCTCCAAAACAGGGATGGCTTCAAGTATGATTGCATTCCTGCTCTGTATATGCATGGGTGGTGTTAATTGCTAACATGTGGATTGCGAATAGATCGAGAGGAGCGGCGGTTGATGCGCCAGCGCGGGGCCGGGTATGTCATACCTCTCAGCATGCGCCGTGGCCCATGAACGTGACAATAGAAATAAAACTTAAAGCAAAAGACTGATTTGTTATTGAGTGTCAAGTAATCGAGCAGCAAAGGATATCGATTTTGGTTTCGATTCTATGTTCGGTGCTCCAAACATACTTCCCCCAGGCGCTCCACCTACTACAGCTGTGCCGGAGCCTACCATCCCGCGTACACAACCTTCCTCCTCACGTAGGACTCCGACTCCAGACCACAGACGACGAACTTCCCCGCAAATTACTCGACGGACTCCTACTAGATCTCAAGATCCATCTTCCAGCAGAAGCACACCTGGAAACCGGACAAACACACTCCCTCGCAGGACATCAGTATTCGACATCCCGCCGGATGATGACCCAGATCATGGACGAGAGCACAAAAGGAGAAGAATTGGTAAGAATCTATTAAATTTTTATATAGGTATTAGTACATTCGACGTGTTGCTTATGTTCAATAAATCAGCAGTGCCTTCTGAGCCGATTCCAGAAGACACCGTCATTCGCAGCGATATACGTGAAACTGAACCAAGAACAACAGCACGTGACGCGAGATCTTCGCCCAATACACAGTCCGGACTGAGTGAAGCTGAGCATGAACGTCACGAACCCTCCGCTGAACGAGGCCAGAATAGAGAAGAAAGCGATGCTCAACCAGCCCCGGATGGCCAACCTGAAATACAGAATGCCGAGCCCGTCGACACACTACAGGAGAAGGGCCAGCCGCATCCTCCCAAAAAGCGCCTGCAAAGTAAAAGACGGAAATCGGTTGTTCAGGGATATAAGAGGCGAAAAAGAGCTTCCGTTGTTGACCAGCTGAGAAGAGAGCCGGACCATGAGCCTGAACCTGAACCGGAGCCAGAGCCGGAGCCGGAGCCAGATCTGGAACCTGAAAAAGAATCCGAACCCGTGCTGGAACCAGAGCCTAAACCGCATGACTTGGATGAAGGAGATGTTGAAGAGCCCGCTGCAGAACCCGTTGAACTGCCGACGCGGAAATACAGGAAGAGAAAATCTGTTTGGCAAATAGCCACTAAAACCAAACACCGCTTGCCTCGTGACCCTGTTGAAGCCAGCGAGAATCAAGCTGAGGAACAGATTCCAGCGTCGGAAGAACTAGACCAAAACCCTGTAGATGAAGTCAACGACAAAGAAAGTGCAGGACATGAGGAAGACTTGCAGGGGCAGTCTACTTCGCCTGATAGGGCGACAAAACCAAAGCGAAAATCAAGCCGGGCAGTCAAAGAACGTAGCCGCCAGGCACGACAGCTACAGCCAGAGGACGCGGTAGAGGAGCGCACACCGGCGGAACCCAGCCAGCCGAAACCTCCACAGAGGAAGCAACGCAGACAAAAGCCTACGGAATACCAAAATACCGAGAACGAGCCAAAACCTCGCGGGTCCACTGTCCCTGTTATTGTCCACCGTTTCGCCAACCTTGCAGCTCTCCAGAGTATGACCGGCGATGATGAAGGTACACCCAGCGAAACAGCTCAGGCGGATGACCCATCCGGGCGTCATAAATACCCCAGCCGTAGCGGGGTAAACCCGGCCGACGTCCTTGGCCAGATCTGCCGCGAGACGCTCGAGAAAACAGCTTCCAAACTAGCAGACGGCATCAAGCAGGAGTCTAATGCGTCAAGACGGGCAGAGTGGACTCGGAAACGCAAAGCTGTGGAGCTGTTCGGCGCAGAGCTTGAGCAGCGGCTCTTCGATATGAGCGAGCTTCTGGATAGCAACTTCGTTTTATCCGCGCGCCTTAAAGGGGAGAAACAGGATCTGGCTTCTCTCCGGAATCGGTTGATTGCATTGCGGAAAGAGCGCGAGGATGTTGCTTTGCGGATCGATGAGGTGCGGCGGAAATATGCTGAAGAGGAACAACTAAAAATGGTATGTTTTACATGCATCGCGCGATTAATGTTTTACTTTTACATTTAACCCTACAGCACATTATTGACTAATTACCAATAAGGCACATGATAATCTCAATAATTCCCTCCACGACCTTCAACTTGCGATGGACCGTGGCCGCAAAGTGGACGATGAGCATAGCGCAGACCCTACGATCGGCCTTGAGTTTCTCCTCCGGACAGTCGCTCAGGATGTCAGCTCTACGGCGCCTGGGTCACATAGTGGTATCTTGAATCAGATTAGAGTCTTCAATAGTCAGCTTGAGCGCACGGCTGCTTTGCTGGAGTATTTTTAAATCTTGAGTACATTTGGTTGTTCACAGTACCTGGACTAGCCCATATTTAGTCCAATACTTCGCGTTTTCCTTTTCCTTTTCTTTTTCCGATTATTTTACTTTCATTTTTTTATTCTTTCTAGCAATGAGGTATACCTCAGGGCGTTCAAGGTTGTTTCGTCATGCCTGATATGATGTAGCTCGCTTCCCAATCAATACTTATCTCAGCAGACTCAAACCTCTGTTCTGCTCGGTTGTCTTGGAGGATAACGTTGTTGTGTTGTGTGTAATCTATCTACGCGAGTTACACTAAATGGATAGGTTGGGGTGGCACGTGACTAGGGTAGGTGTAGTAATCACCAACACCCCCCCTTGCTACGCCGTGGCCTATAAGCCGCCACCCAGGGCCTCTCCCATCCTCATATCTTTCAAAAATGCAATAATAATTAACTACATCAATCAGATCCTGATTTTCTCATTAGAAAAGACATCTGTACAGCAATTACTGTAAAAATTGAGAAATATATACAAAATTCATTGATTCACTGTATTATCATTATCATTTAATCATTTCTTCTTCTTAATTTCCTGAATATCAATTCTTTTGATAAAATCTTCAAATGCAGGCTTCATCAGTGACTTGATAAGATCATCAGCTATATTCACTATAGAATTAACATGTTTTATCATGATTTCTTCTTTTTTAATTAAATTATGAAGAATATAATATCTGATCTTAATATAGTATAATCTTTGTATTAAGAATTCTCTCTTTACTAGATTCATTACTCTCTTATTATCAACTTATAGATATAAGCATATTTTCACTTTTTCATCATTTATTAATTCAGTATTATATAACATATTATTTAGTTAAATTATCTTATAAGCTGTCTTACTAGCTGTAATATATTCAGCTTCTGTAATTAATTTAATAATAGATATCTATCTCTGCAATCACTATGAGATCAGTGACTTATTAATCAATATAATATAATCAGTAGTTAATTTATATTAAGAATTCACATCTACTCAGTCTGAATTACAGTATATCAGAGAACTCAGATCATCTTCTATCTTCTTTTTATACAATATATTATAATTCTTCATCTTCTTAATATAATGTAGAACATGCTTCAATGCTGCTCAACATGTCTTGTATAAATATAAGTTAAAACATGAGAGATAGTTAACTGTGAATATCAGATCTGATCAGCTGTGTGAGATTAAATACTGCAATAATTTCAATTCTTGATAATATTTCATAGTTATAAAGTTATCATTTAATTCATCTCTCTCATCAGATGAGAATTCCAGTTATATACTAGCTATTATCAGAGTGTCAGCTGAATTTATCTTATTTATACTGAAATTTTCAAGAATCTTCTTAATATAATGACTCTGTGTAACTGCTAGATCATTATTTCTCTGATATTTAATCTTTATTTTAAGTCTTTATCAAATGCACAGTGATCTCCTTCTTTGATATTATAAGAATAATTCATCTGTAGTATGTAGCATCATTTATAATACTTATTTAATAATTAGCTCCTCTCTGAGTAGAGAGGTTGACTTTATTATATAGTGTACAGCTATTATCTGCAAGATTCATAAAGAATCTTATCATCAGTTTAACAGTTCTTATTATTGATATGAATGTTAAACATGTTATTTTTACCTGTACACAGATCTTACAGAATGATAAAGCTCTGTCATTCTTGATTCTCATTTCTAGTTGTGAATAGACTGATTATGTGACCGTGTCTGAGATCAGAATCAAACTTTACAGTTATTATATTATTTAAAAGTATTACTTCTGATTATAATTTGTATTTATCACATTAATTTCAAATCACATTATTTCAAATATTAAAGATTTCAGATTCACTTTTCAAATAAAAATCTAGTCTTAGATAAAGAATATATTTAAATTCTTAGTCATATTATCATTCTGATCTCATTATTAAAAATAGCATTAAATGAGATTATGAAATCATTTCTCACTTACATAATATCATAATATAGTGCTTATTTGTTGAAAATTCAATAGAAAGTGTTATCAAATATCATTACTTTTCTGAACACAGATTATAATTAATATCATTTTAATTAAAAAAAAAATATAAAATACAAAAAAAAACAATAAAAAAACAAAAAATAAAACAATAATAAGAAAAAATCATAAGAAAAAAAAAGAAAAAAAAAAGAAAAAAAATAAAAAATAAAAATAAAAATAATTAAGATCACAGAGCTGTAGTACTTTTAAAATACTTACTTCTCAGAGTCTTTATAATATTTATTATCAACTGTGTATTTCTTACAGTGAGAGTAACACAGCTGTAATAAGTTATTATCTTAATATTATCTAATAAATAATCAGTATATATCTGTATAAATATGAATAATTAGAAAACATACACTTAAAAAGTATAATTAGAGTGAACTCTGCTGTTACTTGAACAATATTAAGAACAGAATACTGAAATCAATGATTCTTCTCATCAATTTCACAGATAAGACATGTGAAGATGATCTTGAGAAATATAAGATTCTCTAACTTCTGATAAAAATAAATCTTATGAAGAGACTCTATTTTCACTATATCAGAGACTGAGTATTATTAAAAAGCATTACTTTAATACATATAAACTTACTGCAGTGATTTACTCTCTGTGTATATGACTGAGAGTTACAGCTTTCTTACACTGCACAGCTCTCTCTGAGATGCTGTCACTGATTTACAATTTATACAGTCTTTCAGTTCAGCATATTCTGCATATATACAGCTCTGTGTGCTGAGACTGTGTTAGTCATTATAATCTGATATGATACTTGCTTTTCACAGGCTATGTTTTGTTTGATTGAGAGGGAGAGAAATGTGACTGCTGTTTTATTTAAGAGAAGATGAGTAATTGAATCTGTAGAAGATAATTTGATTTCTTCTGTATTTAAAATTTGATTAGTCTATACTCTTCAATTTGAGAGTTTCTGAGAGTGTTTTAATAGTTTTCATATCAGCTGGGAATTAGTGATTGATTGAAGAAGAGAAAAGAGAGAAGAAAGAAATGAGAATAACTTATCTTTATAATATGAAAACAGAGAATTGCTGCAATTATTTATCTTAGTAATAAAGATCTGTTTTCTGCATGTATCTCTGATACAGATTATATAATAACTGTATATAAAGAATATCAATAGTATATGTATTAAATGAAGATGATATTACTATGTAACACTGTAGCTGTTTCTGTACATCACTGAAAGCTGTTAATATTTTCTTTGAGTCTCTTTATATTTGATAAGTCAGTAATATATTTCAATACACTCTCCCTTTCATTATTATCATCATCATTATTATTATCATTATTATTATTATCATTATCATAATTATTATCATCATCACTATTATTATTATTATTATTATTATTATTATTATCACTATTATTATCATTACTATCATCACTATTATTATATTATTTCTGGTCATCTCTTCTATCTTCACCTGTCTTCAATACTCACTGAAATCAATTATGTCATTCTTCTTCAAATATTCTGCGGTCCTGCAGATCATCAAGACATGTGAGTACTATCATAGATTGAAGAAAGAGAAGAAGAAGATAATTAAGTAAGAGAAGACAGATTGTAAAATATATTATAATATCTTAAAGAGACTTTATAAGAGAGTAGAATAATAATGATTTTAAGTAACACTTCTGATAGATTTAGAGTGAATTAAGTATAGAAATAATGTGAATAACACTGTCTGTACAAGATTGAAGAAGAAGATAGTGAAGAGTTTTATATAGCAGCAGTGAGATTAGAAGAAGTTCTGAAAATAATTTAAGATTAAGATAAAGAGAGAGAGAGAGAAGAAGAGTATTACTGTAAATAAGCAGTGATAGAAGAAGAGTAAGAGAGTATTAAAGTAAGAGATAAAGAAGTTAAAACTGATAAGTTTTTTATTTATTAAGAGATAATGATTTTTAATAATACTTCTGTTCTCTAATTGATTAGCAGAAGCTAGTAAAGAAGAAGAAAATTAAGATCTTATTCAGATCTTGAATATGCTTCATAATTCAGAATATTGAGAAGACAGTTCTACTCTCTGAGCATGTTAATCTGCGTACTACTGAGATGAAACCTGAGATAGCAGATCAGAAAATGCAGGATTTTAAGTTATAGATTAATCTGACTGAGAAAGAGCAGCAGAAACTCTTCTCTAAGAAGATAGTGAAGAGAGATTTTGAGATAATTATCATCTCAGATGAGAAGAAGAAGAAGAAGAAGAAGAATGAAAAGTAAATTATAAAGAATAATAAGAAGAATGAGAAAGAGAAGAAAGATAATGAGTAGAAAAAGTTTTTTTCTTTTTATATTAGTTAGTTATAAGTTCATAATTATTAATAATTAAAATTAATTTTGAGTTTTTACAAAATATTATACAAGTTGTAATCAAGTCAGAAATAATATATATATATATATATATTTAACTATTATGATTTACAAATCACTATAATGTATAAGTATCAACATTTTTTCAATATTAATATTCACAATATTAATATATTTTTAATAATATTATCTGATAATGTAATTTGATAACACTCTCTTTTACAATATTATTATATTTCAAGAAATATGAGAGAGATTAATCAAGATTGTTTATTTACTTTTATATATTAATAATATTCAATCTCAGTTAGTACTAAAATTATAACTAAGCTAAGATAGAAGATTATTTTCTCTTATAATAATTCTTCTTATATATATCAGTGATCAGTTATATCTTCATTAAAAATAAACTATTATCTTTCTTATATCTTTATTATATCTTCTGAATTCACTTCTTTCACTTCTTTAACTTCTATTAAAGATTCACAAACTCTTCAAGAAATCACTGTGAATTACAAAGTCTGTATTATTTATAGTTCAACACAGAATGCTCTCTTTTAATCATGATAGATAATCACTTCATTCTTCACATCTGATTTCAGGCTATGAAATTTATGAAAAACTCAACA